TCTATTTTTTGTTTGTTTGTTTCTCATTTACTACTGTCTTTAAAATAAAAAAAAGGATTTAACCACTTTGAAGGCTTCAGGCTATTGCTTTTATGGACCCGTTTCCCTTGCTTACATTTCTAATACCCTAGGCACAGCTTTCTTTTCCAGGTCAGTTTTCATTAAATTACTCCTTTAGTGGTGTGCAAATTCTCAGGTGTGTTAGGAGGTCAGATAGAAGTGTGAAACACACTTGTACAGTTTATCAACATCTTCAATTAATACATATCGTGCACCACGAGACTGAAGTTGAACACATTGGCTAGGCCCAGAGATATGAGGACTCTACTGTATGTGAAATAGCTAAATGGAAAGAGACAAAGTAAGAATCAGCTCTGTGACTGATAAAGCAGGCTGGGATAACACATACAGATGAAACCAGCTGCGAAGTTTAGGGGAAATCACTTTTTTCGCAAGGTCACAATGCAGCTTTGAAGTGTCACGACAGCTCCCCCTCGAGTGCCACTGCTTTCTCATCTCACTGACAAACCTTGTCCTCTATAACCACAGACGGCCAGAAACTTCGCTGTTTGAAATCACAAGAAGAAGACATCCTTCTCCTAACACTGAAAGGGACACTGGCTTTTCTAGTCCAGGTGCAGAGTTTCACATTAAGGAATTCCGGGGCACAACATTCCATGTCTATCTGAACTTTACAGTTTCCAAGGAAATGGGAATGTGGGTCCGCTTTGCAGTCCAAACTTCTAAGGGCAGCCCTGCTTTGAGCCTATGAAAACAGTGCATCATTAAACTCTCCCCGAGCTCCACCACTGTCCATACTGCTACTGCAGACCTATCTCTTCCTTTGGTTCCTCTGCCTTCTGAGCTTCTTCACTGCGATAAATATGACTTTGGTGGATGACAGGCTTGTCCCCGCTCATCTCTGACTGACTGACTTATGATGAGACTTACTGAAAGTTCAAATTAGAACAAAGCAAATCTGTGCACCTTAATCCAGGGATACAAGAAATATGGTGTAGCAGTCTCCCCTTTATCTGAAGAGAATGTT